GCATAGAGCGGGATAATACGCAGAGCGTCACACCACGTGAAAGTGAAACCTGAGCGGTGAACTAATTTTCGGCAGCCGAAATTTCGGTGCATCTCTAATTATTGGCGACATCAGAAATGGATATTATATAATAGATGCTTTTTTGAACATTTTAGCCATTTAAAAATATTAAAAAAGGATCTTTTAGACGGCACCCCTGCTCTCGACAGACGGCACACCGGTTGGGAAACACTGATCTAAAGAACCCTTTTCCACTATCAAGAACCTTTTTTGGAATAGAAAGGTTCCATGGATGTTAGATGTGCTTTATGGAACCAGATGCAAAAAAAAAAAAAAAAGAGTGTAATTGATCAAATGATGCTACCACTATTCATATAGAGAATACTACTTTACAATAAGGTCCTTTTAGTTAAAGAGCAGGTCATATGGGTTTTCGAAGAATATCTTTTTTGCCGTTTGTAACGTAGTTATCCTTCAATGTAAACAGTGTGCAAAGTTGTTAATCAAAAAAGTGCATGATAAATAAAGATATTGTCTCTCAAAAGAAAGAGTCGATTCTGAACCGCCTTAACGAGTCGTCATATTTTCGAATCTTCTTCCTGTTACCTATATACGTCACACGGTAACACATTTGCATAATCCCCGCCTGCCCGCGAAATACAAACACTCTGACCTGCCCACAAACACTTTTTCCACTAGTTAGTGTTTTTACATCAGGTCGAGAAGACGCTGTGTTCTGTGTGGTGAAAGCAAGTTTGTTTTGTTTTCATTGCCGAAAGATGATGATTTGAAGACATCACGTAAAGTACCACATACAAAGTTTAAACTTACCACTGAAAAACGTCCTAATCAAGTGGTGCTTGCAATGGAGTTTCCGGTTGAGTGACTGCATCGGAATCATCCTCGGTCTTGGGCTCGAATTGATAAGGTAATATTGATGCCATTTTTGTAAGCTTATAGCATCTTTGTTTACAAGTAAACCTCCGGGCGTTTCATTCCGACACTTATTGTATACGGAAAGAACAATCACAACAGACTTGGCCAGCTGACCAATCAGAGCAGAGTAGACTTATGGAAGGGAGGAGTTTACAGACCTTAAAGGGTTAGTTCGGCCAAAAATTGAACCAAAAGTTGCACAAAAAAGTATTCTCGTAGCTTCGTAAATTTACAGTTGAACCATTGATGTCACACGGACTACTTTGTCGATCATCTTGGTACTTTTCTGGACCTTGAACGTGGTAGTTACCTTGTTGTCTATGGGAGGGTCAGAGAGCCCTCAGATTTCATCAAAAATATCTTAAATTGTGTTCCGAAGATGAACGAAGGTCTTACGGGTTTGGAACAACACGAGGGTGAGTAATTAATGACAGAATTGTCATTTTTGGGTGAACTAA